AAAAAAAAAAAAAAAAAAAAATATATATATATATATATATATATATATGCTTAACAAATCTACAATGACTATGATATGAGTGGCACCCACTAGAGTCGTGAAATGCAAAGCCTGCATACTGGGGAACAACATCGGTTACAGCAGCTTCATCACACTAACATTTATTAGGCACCTACTGAGTACTAGACATCTCATCACTTGTCATATAGTATCTAATCTTCCCAACAACTCTGCAAGGTAAATATTACAGTTAACATACAGGGGCACTTACTGTATGATGGACTTCATGCTTGATGCTTCGTATACACTAACTAAATTTTCCCAAAGACGATCTGAGCACACATTTCCACATCTTGCCAAGAAACTAAGGGACTTTTAACAATGGGTTTGTACCCAGATATTGACCTATAATTGAGACCATGCAAACATTATACCACTATTGTTATCTGGGTACAATTCTCCTGTTTATGTTAGAGATCTCTTTCCATGGAACAAACTAAATCTATCCTTAAAAAAATTCCAGGGCTTCCCTGGTGGCGCGGTGGTTGGGAGTCCGCCTGCCGGTGCAGGGGATACGGGTTCGTGCCCCGGTCCGGGAGGATCCCGCATGCCGCGGAGCGGCTGGGCCCGTGGGCCGTGGCCGCTGAGCCTGCGCGTCCGGGGCCTGTGCTCTGCGGCGGGAGAGGCCGCGGCAGTGAGAGGCCCGCGTACAGAAAAAAAAAAAAGATTTCTTTATATTTTGTCTGTTTGTTTTTTATGTATTATTTGTGAAAAAAAAAAAAAATTCCAGCTTCTTTCATTCCTACTTTGAGAAATTTACAGTCTAAAAGAATGTTAGGAGCAACATATATAACTATACTTTAGAACAGATCCAATCAGTTCTTTACAGATAAAATATTCAGATACTTACAAAATGCCATAAATATTGGTTTGGTGCACTACAAATGTTTTCCTCTGAGACGGGTTATTCTGGGCCACTATGCCTTCCTGTAAACATCCTCTAATCCTCCTTGATTAATAGTCTCTGCCTATTTTTATACTGGTGTTTGCTTTATTTCATTTTTCTTGCCCCTTTGCTTGCATTCTTCCTAATTTTGGTACAGTCCTGCTCTGGTCATCGCCTAGTATGCTCCTATTTGACCAACTCTCCAGTAGATACGGACGATATATAAGAATGGCTTCCTCAAGTCCTTGGAGAATGAACAAAAGTAGGCAGATGTAGAGTAGACATGGGAAAAGGGAATAGCACAGGGTGAGTGTCCAAGTTATTTATAACCTCTAAGTTGAAGGCCAGCAGCCCACGCTAAATAGAATGGCGAGAATTCAGAAACTCAAAGTCTTGCTGGCTTGAAGAATCTGACAACTGAATTTATGGCAATCACAGATACTGGAAACTGAGGGGGGGATCTGTGAAAGGAAAGCACCACAGTGGGGAGCCCAAATATCTGGCTGAATCCTTTATCATGAACCTGTGGGGACAACTACAACCACCTCGGCTAAGCCTAAATGAATTAGTTAGATTTGAGCTACTGCCCTCTACAGGGGAGACAGAGTGTGCAGTTTGAATTCAGCCAAATTAACTGCCTGCAAACATAGTTAACTAAATAATCGGTACGTCAATACTTTTTGGAAAGTACCAGAATCCAGTCCCTACAATGGTTCACCTGCACTGTCCACCACACAATCCAAAATTTATTCACCTATGAAGAAACAAGAAAATACAGGCATATCTCAAGAGATATTACAGGTTTGGTTCCACACTACTGCAATTAAGCAAGTCGCACAAATTTTTTTGTCTTCCAGTGCCTATAAAAGTTACGCTTCTACTGTAGCCTGTTAAGTGTGCAATAACATTATGTCTAAAAAAATGTGCATACTTTAATTTAAAAAATACTTTATTGCTAATAAATACTAACCATCATCTGAGCCTGCAGTGAGTTGTAATCTTTTTGCTGATGGAGGGTTTGAAACATTGCGAGAATCACCAAAATGTAACACGGACACAAAGTGAGCAAACGTTGTAGGAAAAATGTCACCAATAAACTTGCTCAACTGCAGGGTTGCCACAAACCTTCAATTTGTAAAAAACCGCAGTATTTGCAAAGTGCAATAAAATGACATATGCCTGTGTGACTCATTCTTGAGATAAAAGAAAATCAACAGCAACCAACCCCAAGATGACCCAGATGTTAGAATTAGCAGACAAGGATTTTAAAGCAGCTGTCTATCGTAACTATGCTCAAGGATGTATAGAAAACTTTGTTCATAATAAAGGATAGGACATCTCCACAAAGAAAAAAAAGCTTAAAAAAAAGAACCAAAGTGAAAATTCTAAAACTGAAAAATATCTGAAATAAAATATACACCAAATGGGAAAAAAGCAAGTGTGAAAAAAAGAAGTGTGAAAGCAGAATGGAAGTGAAAGGAGTAAGATTCAGTGACCTTGAAAGAGATAAACAGACATTACCTGATCTGAAGAACAGAGGAAAAAGATGATTGGGCAAAACAAAACAAAATAAAAGACATGGGCAAAGTCTGACAAAGGAACAAAGGCAATTCAATGGAGAAAGGATAGTCTTTTCAATAACTGGTGCTGGAACAACTGGACATCCACATGCAAATAACAACAACAACAAAGTAGACAGACCTTACACCTTTCATAAAAATTAGCTCAAATTGGAACACAGACTTAAATAAAAAATTCAAAGACTATAAAACTCCTAGAAGATACCAAAGGAGAAAATCTAGACGACCTTTGGTTTGGCTTGGTGGTAACTTTTTAGATACAACACTAAAAGCATAATCCATGAAAGAAAAATTTGGACTTTATTAAAATTGAAAACTTCTGCTCTTCAAAAGACATTACTAAAAGCGCAAAAAGACAAGCCACGGACTGGGAGAAAATACTTGCAAAACATTTATCTGATAAAGGGCTGGTATCTAACATATACAAAGAGCTCTTCAAACTCAATAGTAAGAAAACAAACAGCCCAGTTAAAAATGCATAAAAAATGTGAACAGACCTTACCAAAGATACTATACAAATGGCAAATAGCCATATGAAAAGATGTTTGACATCATGCTATTAGGTAACTGCAAATTAAACTAACAATGAGATACTATCCCACAACTATTAGAATGGCTAAAATCCAAAAAAACACTGGCAATACAAAACGTTGGTGAGGATGTGGACCAAAAGAAACTCACCCACTGCTTCTGGGAATGCAACATGGTACAGCCACTCTGGAAGACAGTGTGGCAGTTGCTTCCAAAACTAAAACTGACCATACTCCACTCATATGATCTAGTAGTCACACTCCTTTGTATTTACCCCAGTGAGTTGAAAACTTAGGTCCACACAAAAACCTGTACACAAATGTTTATAGCGGCTTTATTCATAATTGTTAAAACCTGGAAGCAGCCAAGATGTTCTTCAGTAGGTGAATGGATGAACTGTGGTACACTCATACAATGGAATATTCGTCAGCACTAAAAAGAAATGTGGTATCAAGTCATGAAAAGACATGAAAGAAACTTAAATGCATATTGCTGGTGAAAGAAGCCAATCTGAAAAGGCTACACACTGTGTGAGTCCAACTATACGACACCTAGAAATGGCAAAATTATGGAGACAGTAAAAAGACCAGCGGTCATCAGGGGTTGGGGGTGGTAGGGAAGGAGAAATGAATGGGTAGAGCACAGGGAAATTTTAGGGCAATGAAACTACTCTTTATGATACTATAATGGTAGATACATGCCATTATACATTTGTCAAAACCTATAGAACTATACAACACAACAAATGAACCTTAAACTGTGTAAACTGTGGACTTTAGTTAAATCAGTATTGGTTCATCAATTGTAACAAATGTACCACGTTAATGCTGTTAATAATAGGGGATAACGGAGTGAGGCGAGGAAGAATATGGGAATGCTCTGTACTTTCTGTTCAATTTTTCTATAAAACTGAAAGATAAATTTACAGATTCAAGCTCAGTAAACTCCAAAGTGAATAAATGCAAAATACACGCACACACTCATTCATCTTGGCACATCACTGTCAAACTTCTCCAAACGAAAGACAAAACCTCAAAAGCCAGAAAAAATGATACATTGCATACATGAAAATGATTCGAATTGAACACTGACTTTTCAGAAACAATGAAGGCATGTTTCATTTGCTTCTCCATAAATTTCCTGTCATGAGTTTTTTCCTTGTATTTCATAATCTAAGAAAGCATTTTTGTGTGGGAAGTGCGTATGGCGAAATATGAGAAATCTACAAAAGAGTGTGCGTGTGTGAAAATGAAAATAAAAGCAAGAACTTCCCCTTTCCTTACATCACGTCTGCTTACTTGAAGCTCCCAGGCTGTAAAGGTCAGCATGAGCAAGGCTAAAACTGAACTAATACAATTATTTTGAATGGGGAAAAAAGCTATTAAGTATATTTTTAAAAATAATCTGGCACGTGCAGGTACAAAGACTAGAAAATCTAAAGGATTTTTTCCTGTAATTTTATAAACTGGATACCATGGCAATAATTATTTGATCTGATGTTGATTTTATGTGGAAGTTGAAAGGTCTAAAACTTAACAATCGTTAACACCAGCTAAGATCTTGTGTATTTTAAAAGGCTCTGAAAATTCAGAGGTTAAAGATTTTTACTGAAAGACAATGAAAAGACAAATTAATCCAGAGCATAGTGAGTCAGAAACACCAGGAAAGGTCCTGGCAATGTGGCAGATGTGATCACAGAGGAAAAATAACACTAGAAGAGAAAGAGGAATTCTGCCTTCCTTTCTATTACATTGTTAGGCAAATATTTACTCATTTAATTACAGCAACTGCAGACAGCAACCAAAGCTAACAAGGAAAACTCCTGCTTCTGTATCCACTTCAGTTTCAGGATTAATCTGGCAGCTCCCTGACCCCTGCCCCCGCCTGCCCACCTCACCTGCCTTGAAGGGTTGCACAAACATTCCCAGCAAAGCTAAGGAGCAGTAAGAGAGTTAATATTTGTTGAGTGCAACCCTTCTAACAAGTCCAGGGACTGGTGCTAATAAAAACCCGGGGTATTGGTTCTACAGAAATCTGATACATTAATGACAATCTTTACCAAAGTCAATTATGCTCCCATTGAAATGTGTCCTTTTCCCCACAAGAATCAGTTGCAGGTTCTCTCTTACCCACTAGTCCTGCAAGCACCTAGTATGCTACTTGAAAGAAGTACGTATCTGTAATATATTCTAACTAACCAATAACAATCAAGACACTAACTACCATTAGAGACAAGCCATTCTACCTTTCTGGACATCAGTACAACAGGGAAACATTCCCTGTGAAACAGTTTACAGTTTCCCTGTAAAACAGGGAAATGGATAAAAATACGATCACTAACTTTTAACGCCATAGTGAATGGTATCCCAAATTTATAAACTTCATACTTCCTTAATGCAGGTGTTGATGTACATCCTTTCCCCTTACTGGGTTCATAGTTTTCATCAAATTTTCAAAGGGGTCTATATTAAAATAAAGTGGTCAGAACCACTGATAAATTCTTATACAGAGAAATCAATAAAAATATAATTTCTTTTAAAGAAGATAGCTCATGACCATGCAGCTTTTAAATAATTTGTATTTCTCACTTCAACTGTTCACATGTCATTTTGGCTCTTCTGAGCTCCAGATCCCCCTAACCAACTGCCTACCTGATATCTGCACTTGAGCACCTCAATATTCTCTTACAAATCTGTCCCTTCCCCAGTTTTCCTCACTCCATAAGGAGTATCAACATGAACACAATTCCTCAAACCAGAAACCTGGTCATTCTTGACATTTCCTTCTCATTGACCTGCCACATCCAACCTATCACCAGGTTCTGTGAATTCCAACTCCAAATCTATCTCAAATCATTTCTCCCCCTTTTCCCCAACTCCACTGCCCCCCACTTGAGTCAAAACCATCATCTGATGTTGCCTGGACCTTTGCAATAGATTCTTAAATTCTCTTCCTTGCTACATGGGCAGCCTCATAGACCTGAGGAAATGGGGGCAGATTGGATATCAGATCCTGTTATTCTACTTTAAGGTAGGAGATTGCCTTCTTTTGAACTTAGAATAAAACCCCACCTCCTTCACAGAACCCACAGGGCCCTGGACCACCAGAATGTTGGTTCTTACATAGGTCCTGCCAAGTGTTTTTCTGCCCGGGGCCTTGATATATAAAGTGTTCCATCTGAAGGTTCTTCAAAGGACACGTAAAGTAAGGATGAGCTTTCATCCTTATTCCACTGACTGCGACCGTTTGTTATGAAAAGGGAGTTTACATATATTTTTTTAAGTTAATAACTGTAGAATTTATGTACTCAATGACTGCACTCTTCTGGAGTCACTCGACAAAACAGAAGGGAAAGGGATTAAGGAAAGTTCTCCAACAGATCGCCACCAAGCACTGTGGGGGAACAGAAATCCCCTGCCGACTCCAAGACAACATTCCTTCCTTTCCCCCAAGCCCCGCCCACCCTCTGACCAAGTCCGAGGCCGCCGGGCTCCTGGGAAAGGCACCCCTCCGCCCCAGGCCGCCTCGTGCTTATGGCGCCGCCCCAGTCTTCCAAATAGCTAACCTCGAACTAGGTGGGTCACTACCCCGCGAAGGCAAATGACCTTCAAGGTCAGAAGCAAGCAAACCGTGGTCTCAACTCTCAGCTGGAAGTTGCAGGGAGATCACCGTCGCTAGTGCCTGACAAGTATGTTTTCTCCTGAACCCAAACAGTGCTTTCGGGTTGGAGTTTTATCAAGTCCCCTTTACTGCCTAGGAGGCCTCGACTCCCCGCCGGGACCGGGCCCTTCCCCACCCCACCACCAGCCAGGGGCGAGAGAGGCGAAGCTGTAGGGGTCACCTCGGAGCAGGGCCATGGCGGCGGGCGGCAGCGCAGGGGTCCTCCTCGGCGACGCTGACGTACCGCCCCGGGCAACCGGACTTTAAGCGCGCGGGGCGGCGCCAGCGTGGCCTCGGCCGCGCCTCTTTACCTACTTCGCGCCGCTCGGCCAGGGCTCTCTCTCTCTCTCTCTCTCTCTTTTGGCAGGACGCGGCCCTCTGCGCCACCCCGTGGGAACCAAGGGTACCAAAACCTCCCGGGGAGACCGGCCTTGGACAAGAGAACGCTCCTCGCAAGCGGATTTTTTTCCTCATATCGCTGTTTTTAAAGACTTTGTCTCCCAATCAAGAGAATGATTTGACTCTACCCTGTCCATCGTATCCCCGGCCTCTATACGCCCCGCTACCCCCAACAGGTAATTAACGTGCCTCTTCACCCCAACTCTTGAATTTTCTTAACCTTGTGACCAGGCGGCCGAAAGTGTGGAACTGCTTTGAAGGAGGCGGGGTGCGGCCGGGCGTTGCCTGCGGACCGGAAGTCGAGTGGGGACCGGAAGTCGAGTTTGGGAGGCTCGGAAGACGGCGGGAGGGGATTGGCTGAGCGACTCTCGCAGGCTGGGGAGAGCGGCTGCGCAGACCAGGGGCAGAGGCCTAGACTGCGGGGCAGGCGGGGGGGACAGGCCCGGGGAGGTTGGCAGGCGTGGAGTGTAGCGAGAGGCGTAGGGCAGGGGCGCCCCCGGGTCCACTATGCAGCTCCGGATGAAGCCGCAGTATTTTCCTTATATGATCGGGTCCCATGGCTGGCGGCGCCGCTGGCGGAGCCTGAGAGGATTATGAAAACTTGTCAGGCGAAATGGGGCCAGGGAACCGGGGGCTGGGAGATTAAGGTGAGCCGGTTAGGCTACGGATGAGGGAGGTTAGGGATGCCTCTGCCGCTGTAACTGTGAGCCCTGGTCGATGATGACATGACCACTGCGCAATCTGAGTTCTGGGAACCAGGTGATAGAGTGTGTGCTGAGAACGGACTGAGACCGGGCGAGCAGGAGGCGACCCGGGCAGGGAAGGGGCAGATCCCCAGCGCCAGGGCTCGGAGGCTGGCCAGGCTGCCTCGGGCTTGATTCGCGTGGTCGGTGTGGTGTGCTCCAAGGACAAAGAACAAGATAAACTAAAAGGGCCAACGTCGCCGGAACAGAGAGTTACCAGACCCTTATCACTCTGTCATGCAGCAACCATTGCAACATCTCTGAGCGTTCCCAAGCAGCATACCTTGTATGCTGTATTCATCCCGCTGGAAACATGCAGATCCTACCCAATCAGCGGGTGACTCAGAAGTCCCTTTGTTCTCTGGCTATAAAAACAGACAAGCAGGGTATATGCCCAGCAGTGGGATTGCTGGCTCGGATCAGCTCGCTGCTTTGTGACCAGCTAGAGGGGTGGGATAGGGAGGGTGGGAGGGTTGGAGACGCAAGAGGGAGGGGATATGGGGATATATGTATATGTATAGCTGATTCACTTTGTTATAAAGCAGAAACTAACACACCATTGTAAAGCAGTTATACTCCAATAGAGATGTTAAAACAAACCAACCAACCAAGACAAGCAACCTGGCTACCAGGAAGTCGGCCAGCTGTTCTTGCAGCGACCCTTCTCTTTATCTTCCTCACATTCTGCTTTGTGTCTGGAAATTCTTTTCCAACCTGCGCTGGGACCACACAGTTGGGAAGGGGTGGTGGGAGGCACTGAGGTGTTCTGTGAGCTGTCAGGCAATGCCCGCCCTAGAATCCTGCTTTTCAAATGCCTTCGTGGCCCTCTCACATTGTGTTTGTTTATTTGTTTAATTTTATTTATTTATTTTTGTCTGCATTGGGTCTTCGTTGCTGCGCACGGGCTTTTTCTCTAGTTGCGGCGAGCAGGGGCTACTCTTCGTCGCGGTGCGCGGGCTTCTCACTGCGGTGGCTTCTCTTGTTGCGGAGCATGGGCTCTAGGAGTGTGGGCTTCAGTAGTTGTGGCGTGCGGGCCCAGTAGTTGTTGTTCGCGGGCTCAGTAGTTGTGGCTCGCGGGCTCTAGAGCACAGGCTCAGTAGTTGTGGTGCATGGGCTTAGTTGCTCTGCAGCACGTGGGATCTTCCCGGACCAGGGCTCGAACCCATGTCTTCTGCATTGGCAGGCGGATTCTTAACCACTGCACCACCAGGGAAGTCCCTATTTGTTTGTTTTATAGTCCAAAGTTTTTATTATGAAAACTTTGGAACATACAGGAAAGTGGAAAGACTTCTACAGTGAACACCCATATATTCACCACCTGTATTCTACAATTGTTAACATTCTGCCATATTTGCTGTATCACGTCCCTCCATCTGTTCTTCCATCAGACCATCTTTTTTTTTTTTAATGCAGATCTTAGTACACTTCACCCAGAAACACTATGACTCATGTTAGGAGGTCAGTATTTGTTTACAATTCTTTTAAGGCAAAATCTCCATGGGGTCAAATGTACAAATCTTAAATTGGATGAGTTTCACAAGTGCATATACTCTTTTAACCCAAACTACTCTCAACTTTCAAAATATAATTTAGAACATGTCCATCATTACAGAAAATTCCTTCATTTCCCATTTGTTCTCCCAGTTATCCACTGTTCCCTTTTACTCACCATCTATTGTAATTTGACCCTCTGGTTTATTCCTTTTCTTTCTTCTGTTGCTTTGATTTGAGCAAATCCAGGAAATTGACAGTCGTCAATTCAATACATGAGTTCTGAGGCTATTGACTTTAAAAAATATGTATGCTCCTTTTTCACAAGAAGTGTATATAGTCAGTGGAATTTGGACTTTGAATAAATCAAAGCTTCCCACATACCTTATGATGTTTTTTCACCTTCATATTCTGGATGATGAGCAAAGAGCATAGTAAAATAAAAGCTACCATCTGTGAGCACTGTGTGCCCACCATGCACCAGGCACTTATGTATGCTGTTTATAATTCATATACTCAGGCAATATGATAATTGTTATATAAAACAGAATAACATACAATTCATATAACATCAGACAAACCCAAATTAAGGAACATTCTGCAACCCCATGAAATAGGTTAAGAGTTTTTTCTTTCTCATTTTATAAAAGGAAGCTTAGACCCAGAGAAACCAAAGAATTTGCCAAGGCCTCAAATCTAGATTTGCTGAATTATAGGTTTGAACTCTTGATTCTCAGAAGCCCAAGGCCCATGTTGTTTGTCCAGGGCTTATGGCATGTGGAACGTAGAAGTGGAGGTAGAAAAAGAGACAGGTGTCATTAACTAAGGTATATGTTATAGAAAACAGGAAAGGAGGTGAATGTTAAGTTAATCTTCCTCGGTGGAAGAAATAAAGTAGTTGAAACCTTGGTAAAAGTAACATACTTGCATATGGTGGCTTGGATTAGAAGATTTATTTGCTTTTTTTGGCAGGGGAAGGATCTAGGGGTATGAGGTTAAGTGTGGTTTCAGGCAGGTGGAGAAGTGAGGCAACGTGTCACTACTAGATGCTCAGGCTTTCTCAACCACGGCTCCTACAGAAAATGATTTGAATGATTATTTTCTTAATTCTTCCAAGGATGGTACAGAGCTGGTACCATTAGAGCATTAGAACTTGATGTATGTTTGAAAGCTAGTAACATAATAAAATTGAAACCAAAATGGAATTCATTAGGTGAGCCAAAACCAACACATTTTATCTCAAGCTGACACTCAATAAACTTAAGCCAGTCAAATGTGTGTTTTGTAATGAAGAAAATAAAAATCAGAAAACATGTGCAGTGAATTATCTGTAAGTGTGAGATACAGTGGCGGAGGAAATAAACAGATCTTTAAAAGTTATGGGTTTTTCCATTAAAACTTTCTAATAGCCCAAATGCAGAGTAATTGCATCTGGTCTGTAGAACTATTGATAAGGGTATTAGCGTTCTTCAAGAAGAGAAAAAGTCAGGTTCTATTCAATTTGCCCCCCCATATATTTATTAAGAAAAGTTAAGATACCATCACTCTAAGTATCAGAGTTTCCCACCCAATACCTTACAGATCACCAGCAGCAAGTCTTTCCAAATTTCCTAAGTTTTTTGTAATTAAAAATGTCATGAAGATGGATGGATTTTGAAAACCATTGGGTAAAAGTTTTACATATATAAAAAACATGTAAATCTATGTAAAGATATTTACATAATCTCAAAGTATCATGAAGAGGAAAAGTTATCCATACACTAGAGAAATCTTGTATTACCTTGACCAAGTGACCAAGCTTAACATTACCAGTAATGGGACAAACTGACATCATGCACCCTCTGGATACACTGAGGACACAACCTCAGTTATGTAGGATTTCTCCAAAAAAAGTCTGACTTGAATCTAATCATAAGGAAACAATCAGACAAATCCAGATTGAGGGACATTCTGCAAAATAACTGACCTGAACTCTTAAAAAAGTGTCGATGTTGTGAAAAACAGAAAAGACCAGGAATACTATTAGATTAGAGGAGATATGTGACATTTGAATGTAACATAGGATCTTTAATTGGAAACTGGATTTAAAAACAACAACTCTAAAGAACAGAATTGGGACGTTGGGGGAACTTTCTATAAATTGCATGAGACGGTAGCGTTGACATTACTTTTCCTGATTATGTTAATTATATTGTAGATATGGCAGAGATTGTCCTTTGTTCTTAGGAGGTACACACTGAAATATTTAGAGGTGAAGAGTCATGATGCTGCAACTAATTACCAAATGACTCAAAAAATGCATACAAATACACTGGCAGAGAAAGAGAGATAGCAGATGCGGCAGAGTATTACCAATTAGGGAACCTAAAGGTAGAGTATACGGTTGTTCATTGCTCTATTTTGACAACTCTTCAGTAGTTATTTAACTTTTCAAACTAAAAGTTGGGAGGAAAAGTATCTTTCAATAAAGATGCAAAATTACCGGAAATAAATTATAATTAGTTCTTTTCATGTTTAACCATATGTAACCAAGTATATATTGTATAACACTAAATATCTATATCAAAATTAGTTATTTTATATTTCTTAAAATCTAG